ATTTTAATGGTGGGAGGGTGGAATTTGCTAATGGATTGTGATGGGGAAGATAGTTGGATTGTTAATGTGGCACAAACCTTATGACATGTTGAAGAGTCATGTGCAAGGAATATGTAGAAGTTGGTCTGTCTGTGTTTCATCCCTTAGCTGTAAACACTGACTGTGTAAGGTGTGGTACTTTCCATAAACCCTTTGCATAAATGCGATACTTGCCCTAAAAAGCTATGCGCCCATCGTGGCAAACATCCTCATTCCCTTCCTCCTTTATAAAGTTTCGCGATTTTACCTCTAAATCCAGTCCAATAAAAAAAAAAATCAGCAACGTACCATTCCAATTTGACCTACCTCGATCTCCTCTGTTGAATCCACCCCGATCACCTCTGTTGAAACCACCTCGATCTCCTCGACTGGATGAACTCCGATCGCCACCCCTCCAATTTTGTCCACCCCGTCCTCCCCGGTCGCCACCCCTCCAATTTTGGCCATTTCGATCTCGATCGCCACCACCCCAACTGCGTCCACCACGATCTCCTCCTCGATGAAATCCACCCCGATCTCCACCACCACGATCGAATCCACCACCTCCACGTCCTGAAATTTTTCCACTTTTGTAATTTCTCCAAAAAACACAAAAGTAAGTTAAATTAAGAAAATCAACTAGAAATTTCAAATCAGCAATATTAATAGAAAATCTATGAAGATAAGATTCAAATTCAAATTTTCACCTCGAAATCCACCTCGGCCGCCACCGCCACGTCCACCACGACCACCTGAAACTGATATTTTCATCAACAGAACCAAACGGGGCTTCCACTCCTGGAGGGACTATCGCTCCAATAGTTTCCCCAAAAGAAACACATGGCAAAGCTTCAGCCGTGAACTTACATTAGAGGAAAATGTAAAATAAAAACCACGAACATTGAAATGCGCCAAAACTTACCGCGTCCCGGGCCACCACCACGAGTTTGCCCCCGTCCACGTCTGGCAGCTCCGTTTGGAAGGAATCGTTCGATGGGTAACAGTTTGTTTGGATCAATGTACAGTACCTGATCTTGCTCAAATGAACTAGCCTTCAGACCATTGGCCAATTTTACCGTGAAACCCTGAAATAATTTCATACATTTCAATTTTTGTTTTTTTTTGTACTTTAATTTTTACAAATTTTTTACATTTTTTTATATTTTTATTTCCACGAATCTTTTACATTTTATATTATACTTTGTCACATAATTTTTCTATTATTTCGATTCCCATAATTCTTACAGTTTATACTTTGTTATGTAATCTTTCCATTAGTATTTTATACTTTTTGTTATGTGTACTTTTTAATTGAAAGAAAAAATAATGTAAGGGAAGAAAGAAAAGGGAAAAAGTACCAGAAAAAAACTGAAAAACACAAAAAAAATATTGTTTTTTTTAATATTTTATACATATCATCAATATCTCTTACACACGCACAAGAAAAAAACATTTATACTTAAAAAAAAATCTCTTACACAAAAAAAAAACACAGATATACTTACATTATCTTTTAATCCACCGAAAATCTCGTCCACACTGCCAATTTGTTCTTTGTTATCGAAAAATATCCTGGCATTGAAATGTGGAATTTTCCCAGAAGTATTATGGCAGACAATGTCGTTTTCGCATTTATGCGTAAAATAGCCCACCTCTGCAACACAAACGCACACAAAAATAGAGCGAAATACAATGGCACCATTGCAAAATCTGACATTTTGGCTCATATAAATACATCGACAAAAATACAAATAGATTGCATGGGTTGCAGGATTTCGGAGGGTGCCAAATTCGTCCTTCTAATTCGAGGAGCACCGTTTTTCACCCATTTTAGCAAAAAAGCGCCCAAATTTTCACTTTTTTTTTTCAGTCAGACGAGGTTTAATTTTCATTTACTTTAGCTCTCCCTTCTGAAAATTATTTATAAGTTAACGGCAATTTTGGCTCAAAGAAATGTGCCAGTACCATTTTACCATCGAAACGAATGTACAAATCGCAGAGGGATCCCCTCCTTTCGAAGGCTATTTATAAGTTAATGGCAGTTTTTGCTCACAGAAATGTGCCAATACTAATTTACCATCGAAACAAATGAACGAATCGTAGAGAAATTGATTGTCTCACTGAGCGGAAACGAACTTTCGACCCAAATAACTGCACGAGAGGAGTAATGCTACTTGCCGTTGCGCCATATGCATCGATAAAAACAAATAAAATCAAAAACAGCAGATGCTCGTTGCAAAAAACATGCACAACACGGTCGCTAGCTTACCAACGATATATTCTGGAGGTCCATCATCGTCCCTTCGCCGATTCATTCCATATCCTCCTCCACCACCACCGCGCTTGCCCTGCTGACCTCGATTTCGGCCTCGAAATGACATCACTCTGGAATAGTGCTGCAACAGTTGCTGCACTTATTGCTACTTCACAGTTTGCTATGTGCACTCGTGTTGGAAATGTTCTTGTCCTCCACATCTGAGGGAGGGACGGGGGGAGGGCGGTGGGGCTATCGACTCCGATTATCCTCGTCGTACCTCCTCAAACTCTTTTCTACGTTA